GTGTCGTCGGGGGCGAGCCAGCCCAGTGTTATGTCGGGCATGTCTTCCTACAGGCGAATTTCGGAAGACTAGCAAAAGATAGCCACACACACAAAAAAAAAACACACGCAAAACCTCGATACATAGTCCCGTCCTATGTTTGTTCCTGTGTTGTTTAAAATTATCCTCCTGTCGAGGGGCATGCCCGACGTACACACACTCGGGGCCCCCTCCCGTCGTGAAAAAACACGACGACGAATGTTAGATGAGAGCTCGGCCTCTGCAGGGGCCCTCGCCGGGCCGCGGGGCCGCGACAGGACCACTCGGGATGAGAGGCGCCGGGCCGCGGGGAAGGGGTCGAGGGCGCCCGGGGGCCCACGTGCTGAGACGAGTCATTTGAGCAGGGGCCGACCGTCCCGGCATTCCTGTAGGCCTTCCACGACATGCGCTTAGAACCCAAAGATGCTGTAAGAACAAAGGCAATGTTCTTAGAACATAATGCCGATGTGTTCAAACCAGACGGCCCCAGCCAGAGATGTTCTATGAACATTTCGTGGAAACCACAAAAGGTTCCTATAACATTGATTGGTAGGCCTATAGGCACGCCAGGATGCTTCGCCACTGCTCGAGTCATGGCGTCGGGGGTCTGGGAACGCAGACCACGAACGATGGAGGAGGAGGAGGAGGAGGAGGGGGAGGAGGAGGAGGAGGAGGAGGAGGAGGAGGAGGAGGAAGGGGAGGAGGAGGAGGAGGAGGAGGAGGAGGAGGAGGAGGAGGGGGAGGAGGACAAGCTAGGTGCGCTCGCGTCATATCTGACATCCTACCCCTCCCTCCCATCCCTTACCATGGCGCAGATCCCCTCTCTACTCGCACAGTCGGATGTCGAGCAGGGCAATGATCCCGAAAGTGTACGCGATGCATTGTAGAGCACGGCATGGCATGGCGTAGAAGAGCACCGCAAAGCGTAGTATCAACCTAGCATTGCATTGCATGCCGTGGCATGGCACGGGAAATGACGCCAGCGCTGCAGCGGGAGCACGAGTCGAAACGAGCGGAAGCGCGGAAATGAGGCCAGTGCTGCAGCGGGAGCACGATTCGGAACGAGCGGAAGCACGGAAATGAGGCCACCGCTGCAGCGGGAGCACGATTTGGAACGAGCGGGGCCCGAAAATGAGGCCGGCGCCGCAGCGAGAGCAGCATTTTGAAAAACAATGCAGGCAAAAACCCAACTCCGGGGAAACCTGTGTGTAAAAAAACAGTACGCGGGGGGGGGGGTCGGACACTTTCAAACCGTCATCAGTTGAAGATGGAGAGTAGTATTCATATTGAGTAATTGCGGAGGATGAGGAAGAGGAGGAAGAGGAGGAGGAGGAGGAAGAGGAGGAGGAAGAAGAGGAAGAGGAGGAGGAGGAGGAAGAGGGGGAGGAGGAGGGGGAGAAAGAGGAGGAGGAGGAGGAGGAGGGAGCGGGAGGGGGAGGAGGAGGGGAAGGGGGAGGAGGAGGAGGAGGACTGACGCTTTCAATCCTGCTCTGGTCCTGGGACTCGGCCTCTGGGGCCGGCTTTACCCCCGAGGAAGAGGCTGTGGTCTCTTGGGGCAGCGCATCGGGGGGAAAGTATATATATATATATATATAAACAAAAAAAACTCGGAGGTCTGGGAAGGAACGGACAGCCACTGCGGCGGACCTCGTCCAGGCCTGGCCGAAAAGAGGCGGGCGAGGCAGTGGCCGCTGGAAGCTGCCGCGTCCGGACACCATGCAGAGCGAGACGTGCAACCAGCTCTGAGCGACCGCTCGTCGGGAGCGCCAAGGAAGCGGGTCCCGAACGAAAATCGGGGAAGTGTGTCGCCGATTTTGGGCCCCCAGCGGCCCTCCACAGGCCCAGGACAGTCTAAAGATGGCTTGGGGTCGAGAATTGGTCCACAAGGGAAACACTGGGGTCGAGGACCCAGTTTCCTCGGGACGACCCTTTTGTTCATGGGGAAACGTGCAAGCAATTAGGAATGAAAGCGCCAGCGTGGCAGTGCTTGATGGTCATCATACCTGACACCTGCTGTGACCCTGGCCAGTCCAAGCCTGGGGGCCCAAGGATCGGCGAATGTGTCGACAACACAACCGAAAACCGACCAATCCGACAGCGATACCCAAACCGATTGAAACCGACATGCCGCCAGCAACTCAGAAGGACGCATCACTGGACAAGGGACACCATCCCCACCAGGGAAACGGCCCTGCTAGGCGACGTACCCCCCTAGGTTGGGACGGCTGTCATTTCCTTCGAGCGTCGCAGAACGCATAGCCACCTAGAGAGGGGACCAGACGTTTAGCGAGCCAAACAACCCCCTGTCACAGTAAAGTTTGGGATGGTGCTGACGATGACGAGCAGCGATGCAGCCATGACACAACAACCGACCGAATCGAACCGACCGAACGCAACCGACTGCGACGCAACTGAACCGACCGAGCCGCGGATTCCCGTGTTCGCCATCTTGAAACCTCTGGGGGATCCGCGGAGGTCTCAGCAGAGCTCCGGTGACCTCCCGAGTCCGCAGGAGGCCTCCGCGGGCCTCTGGGGATCAAAGCCCACGAACGCTCCTGTCGTCGTCGTCATCTCCTACTCCTCGTCGTGTTCCCCCAGCCCATCCGCATGCCCGCTCTCTTCCTTATCACCCCCCTCTCGCACTCCCCCCTCTTCTCCCCCAATAGTTTCCTATCCTGCGCGTCCTGATCCTCGCCGACCCCATCTCATCCGCTGAGGCAATCAAAAGGTACCCGTCTCCAAACTCCTCGTCGTGTTCCCCCAGCCCATCCGCATGCCCGCTCTCTTCCTTATCACCCCCCTCTCGCTCTCCCCCCTCTTCTCCCCCAACAGTTTCCTATCCTGCGCGTCCTGATCCTCGCCAGCCCCATCTCATCCGCTGAGGCAATCAAAAGGTACCCGTCTCCAAACTCCTCGTCGTGTTCCCCCAGCCCATCCGCATGCCCGCTCTCTTCCTTATCACCCCCCTCTCGCTCTCCCCCCTCTTCTCCCCCAATAGTTTCCTATCCTGCGCGTCCTGATCCTCGCCAGCTCCATCTCATCCGCTGAGGCAATCAAAAGGTACCCGTCTCCAAACTCCTCGTCGTGTTCCCCCAGCCCATCCGCATGCCCGCTCTCTTCCTTATCACCCCCCCCCCCCTCGCACTCCCCCCTCTTCCCCCAAAATATTTTCCTATCCTGCGCGTCCTGATCCTCGCCAACCCCACCTCACCCGCTGAGGCAATCAAAAGGCACCCGTCTCCGCTACTCCACGGAGCTCTCCCAGCCGTCGTGGCGACGAGGGCCTCCCAGGAGGCCCACGCAAGCCAAGACGAGGCCAAGGGTGGCGGTATCGATACCTTTGCCCTCCTCTGATGTGCATCCCCACGTCGTCCGCCTTGTGGCCGCCGCGACCCACCCGCACCCCCAGGCATCTTCACCCATTTCCCCAGGACCAGCTTTTTTTCTCCCAGGCCGAATACAGCAAGACACCCCCCGCCTTGTTTTTCTCCCAACGCGAAAGGGGGTCAGTGGCAAGGTTCGCATGCGGCTCCCCGCCCACCGCATGCCCACTCCAGCACACCCCTCCTCACACGTTCCGTGGCCCCCACGGGAAGCTCCCCCATCCCTCGTTCCCCCCTGCCTGGCGGTGCTGGCCCACAGCTGCACACGCTTGGGCCTCTCGCCAGGCCACTCTGCACGACGCGAGGGGGGCCTGGGCCCCCATCTCTGAAGGGGCCCCAGGACACACAAACAAATACACACAAATAAAAAGATTCCCCATACTTCCCCATATTTTCTGGGTTTCTGTCTTCCCCCCACTTCCCGTAGTCTCCCATATGTTCTGGGGAATCGAGGATGAATTGTGTCGGTGTGTTTTTTCCTCTCCTGCATCTCGTCCGCCCCGTGGCCGCGGCGACGCCGCCGCGACGCCTACAGCGGCTCCAGCGCCAGCCACGGCGCGGCGGAGGCGGCGGGCGGCGCCGGAGGCGCGGGGCCCAGGGCCACGAACGCGGCCCCGGCGTTGGACTCGGAGACGGGCCCCGCGAGCGCGAGGCCCAGCCCTCCGGCGGGGGGCGCGAGCTGCGAGGGCGAGGAAGGAGTATCTGAGAGCTCGAGACGCCCCCCCAAAAAAGGATCCCAAAACGCCCCCAAAAAAGGCCCCCAAAACGGCCCCCAGGGATCCTCCAGACGCCCCCCGAAAGAGGCCCCCCCAAAGCGGCCCACAAAGGATCCTCCAAGCGGCCCCCCAAAAGAGGCCCCCCCGCGACGTCCCAGAGGACATCCTGGAGGCCCACGGCCCACGGCCCAGGCACGGTGGCGGGGGGGGGGGCCGATGGCCACGAGATCCGCCGCGCGCCCCCGGTCGATTCATCGCAGGGGTGCCTGGCGTGCCGGACCCTCTCGGTTTTGGTCTTGGTTCTTTTCCACAAGAGAACTCCCCCTGGGGCTTCGGCCCGTCCCGCCGGCCTCCTGAAAGGATGCCAAAAGATCTTCCAGAGGTGGTTGCAGAGGGTTTGTCCGTCCCAGATGGCTCCAAGATGGCCCAAGATGGCCTCCAAGACGCCTCCAAGACGGCCAAGATGGCCTCCAAGACGGCTAAGTTGGCCCCAAGATGCCTCCAAGACGGCCCAAGATGCACCCAAGACGGCCTAAGATGGCCTCAAGATGGCCCATAACGGCCCAAGAGGCTCCCAAGAGGCCTCCGAGACGGCTCAAGAGGCCTCCAAGAGGTCCTCCGGGAAGGCCCGAAGAGGCCAACATCATTGCTTAGGTGTTTGAAGGATGTTGGTATGTGCGCCTTTTCGGCTTTCCGACGGCCCAAGACGGCCCAAGACGACCCCCGACCCCCAAGGTCGCCCCAAATTCGCCCAAGAGGCCTCCAAGATGCCCCCATGACGACCCAAGAGGCCCCCAAGACGGCCCGAAGAGGGCCCCAAGAAGGGCAAGGAGGCCTCCAAGACGCCCAAGATGGCCTCTAAGACGGTCCCGAAGCGCCCCAA